CCACGGGTCTAGGGAGAGGAAATGGGCTGACCCGAAACACACACACACACACACACACACACACACACACACACACACACACACACACACACACAGACACACACACACAGGGTGGACTGCTTGGCACCCTGTCAGTTCTGAAAACGCCATCTTGCTTACAGAGCATTCCTGCTCACAGCTGTGCAGGAACATGAGGCCCGCGACGGACAGATCCGGCACATTCTGCAAACGGGTTGCCCTGCATTGGGGTATGGCACCCTGGCGCTGTCCTCATCTCGGGTCATTTTGAAACACCGACATGGAGTTCATGCACTCCCCTTCAGCACCATCAGTGTGCACATTAGTGTGAAGGGCACAGAAAGCCATAAGCTTACGACCCGGGTAACTAGTCAGATATTTGTCAGTGAGTTTTTCCCATTATTCCTCACTAATGCAAAAACCAGATGAAGCGGCATCTTGGGGTCGGCTAGGAGACGGGCCTGCAGACACCAGCGGCCTGACAACGGAAATGCCACTAACGCTATCGTCCCCTCAAGCGACACATCAGTAAATAATTAGTTTGGTGACTGACACATTATAGTGTTTACTTGCACGCAGATTCGGCGAAGGCCTAACATACTCCCCTAGGATGCTGCTGTGGAATGTGACCCTCTCCCTCCCTCCACCAGATGCCATATGGACCCCAGGCGAGCAGCAAGACTCCGCCGCACTCCGTCACCCCCTTCCCAGGTCCCAAGTGCCAGCTCATACGGAGTAAACACTGGAAGCTCTGGGAGCCCCTTTGGACTGGGGGCCTGCAACACAAAGCTGGATTTCTTGCTTAGCTGGATAACTTGTCGGATTTAAGGTAGTTTACTTATGTTTAGCCCAGACTAAGATAAAGTCCACTTAAACCGGGGAACCTTAAATCTGACGATCTAGGACATGCAGAATCGTGATACAGGCTCCAGCGACGAGCAGGCACACTACTGCAAACAGCACCCCCACCTGCCCCGAAATCAGCTGCAACCCTACCGTCAATGACAGCCATTGTAAGGCGAGCACTCAGATTCAAGCGATGGCTATGAGGAGGAGAAAACTCTCTCGTGCTAGATCTATGAAACAGTCACCTAGCATGCTGGCAGACAGAGACGGCGCACTGACCAGCAGCGTAACCGAGAGTGACGACGTCTCCGTCATGTGACCCCGCAGTGTGATTTGGGCCGAAGCAAGGGAAGACTACAGAAGCTGTCTGATAAAGGTAGTGGCTGTATTCCTGCTGGAACTTCCGGTCCTGCAGCCGGAGGCAGGGGAGGCTGCGTGAGCTTGTCCCTTTGTGCGTGTGTGCAGCTGAGCACCAGTGTCCCTATCGCTGGAGGGGGGGGCGGAGATTTGACCAGGGAGAGAAGAGCTTCCTGAGTGCTCACGTTAAAATCAACATGCAGGTGAAGGACATCTGGCAAGCACAGAGAGCAGAGGAAGCCAGACTCAACCAAAGGAAGCCAGACTCAACCAAAGGAAGCCAGACTTCACACCCAGCTTACTTCAGAGACCAGACAGAAATCCCCCTTAAAAGGCACAGACATGAAGAAAGGTTAAAGTTAAGGTTAAGGTTACTTTGTCATCAATGGCTTTATACAAGTACAAAGTGTGACGAGACGTTTCCCCATGGTTCCGGTGCAACATCTAGTAACACTGAATATCACATACAACAGGGCAAAAAGTTGCAAACAGGCAACACAATAAAGTGCAAAGGGTACAATGACATTACAGAATACAACAATTTACAATGAATATACGGAACAATAAAGGGACAGAACAGTACACAACACTACACAACACGACACTAGAAAAAGAGGGCAGTCTCGAGGAAATTAACATTTTGCTGTGTGCTTTGATATTGTACCAGACCTGCAGAGTGCATCCACATCATACCTACATCCCTCATGTCTTCCTCTCAGGTGATGGACCAAACTGGTCACAGGAACATCTTCATGAGCAGACCTGGAGCTCAATCATCACACTCTGCCTAACTGACACCTGTTGCCCCTGACTGAGTTTTTCAGTAAAGGGCCCTTATCAGCAAATCAAAGACCCACTGAGGGCAAAGGTCACAATGACACCTTTCCTTTCACATGGGCAGTCATAAGTAGGGATAGTCTAGAACCAACACAATGTGTGATCTGTATTAGATCTGATGGACATTCGGACCTACAGTTCAGACAAATCGAGAGAATATTGCATTTCCCCGGCTGATTCGTTGGGGGTCCTACAGAGATATATGGTGCGCGGGGGCGGGGGTGGGGGGGGAGTGTTGCTACATCGTACCAGCGTCATGCTTCAGAATTCCAAGCGGGCTCATAGTTTGCAGCAAACTTGAGGAGCCATAGCTAGAAGTGAAGAAGTGGGGGGAGGGATGTTTTCATGCGTGTTTTCAGATATCATGCAGCTGCACAGCGTCTCGCCAGAGCCACGGGCTGGAGACAGGTGGCTGGAGAACCGGAAAAGCGGGCAGCCTGACCTCTCTCTCGGATTCCCCTCCCTCCCCCTCCCTCCGATGAACACTTTGATGTCTGAGTGATCTAGCAGCAAGCAGCGGTATTTCCACTGTAACCCGCCGCAGCTTGAAGCGCCTCCCCTCCTCTCGTCTCCGTCTGCCCCGGATATTCAAATTCTGTTTGTGCGTGTCCACGTGCGAGTGTGTACACAGCTGTGCCCCGGAGCGGGTTTAAAAGGAATGCATCAGCGCAGAAAAATTCAGGGGAAGAAAAAAAAAGAACTGAAAAAGGCTGTTTTTCATTAGGAGCGAACAGAGATCCAAAGGAGCCAGAGACATCACCACTCAGCAAACACTTAATACACGTAACTGCCAGCAATTAAACACGGTCAGCAACTCAAACTGATTCTCTTCATTTGTACCGATTGGTACAAATGTGAGATAAAGCCGTCTGCTTCAGAAAATGTCCAGCTTGTTGTAAATAAACAAGGAGGTTGGAATGGTTGGATTCAATGGTTTTTATCTCATGCAAGCTATACAGTTAGATTATAACCTGCAGTGAAATGCAAGGTGGTCAACTCTGCTATAATAAATAGCAAAAGACGTGGGAAAAAAAACCATATAATAAATAAGGAAAAGAAAATTGTACTGAAAATACAGAAACGTGCTATTCAATTCAATGAAGTGCAAGGTGCGTAAATAAGGTGAGAACGTAAGAACTGCCATTTAAGCATTAAGCAGTGTGATGGTCTGGGGGTAGAAGCTCCTTGTGAGCTGCACGGTTCTCGGAGACTGCAGAAGCACCAGGTCGGGTTCTGCTCCTGCCTATTGGTCGGTGAGTTTCACAAAGGCACAGAGCTTCCTGACTGTGTGATGCGGACGCTGTGCTGTACAGACAACGATTGAGCTCAATAAAAGTCTGGACAGAAATCGAGAGAAAACATTTACAAGTCTCAAACCGCTGCGTGGGGGTGCTTCCGGGGCTGCTACATTACACCTGCGCAGAAAGGCCAGTTGCCCGGGCTCCCACAGCAAGCTGCGACGAGCGACTGCACAGACAGATCAATCATCTCGGCTTCCAAAGCATACTGTGACAAGCAACTGCGCAGACAGGTCAATCGTCTCAGCTCCCACAGCAAGCTGCAACGAGCGACTGCGCAGACAGGTCAATCATCTCGGCTTCCAAAGCATGCTGTGACGAGTGACTGCACAGATAGATTGGTCACCTGGGCTCCCAGTGAATGCTATGACAAGTATATGCGCAGCGAGACCCTTCACTCCAGTATCCAGCCCCCCCCAAAAATGGCACGCATTGCTCTGAGGAGGTTCCTCACGCG